GAGTGACATTCAGAGTAGATCCTCGTGAGAGAAGAGTGTGTATGCATCGTGAGAGGAAGGGACTGAGACAGAGAGAGTGTTCTTTCAAGGTCTGGTTATGGAGGACACTTACCTGAGCTAGAAGCAAGTGACGAAGGTGGCATTGATGTATCTGATGTGGGATTGGTATTTCGTTGAAGCGCGTTGACTCAGGGAACTGTGAACTCATTGTAATCATAATTTTTGATAATATAAGTGACGGGTCTTGGTCCTATTCTYATCTACCTTTGTCTCGTGTGCGGCAACTGTGTCCATTGAGTGTGAAGWCGATGTTTGATGTATGCACATCTGCGTGAGTTGGTCCCCAGGACCCATGCAATTAAATTAATTTAATTTAAATTCTAGGCTACCAGCCGGGCCACGCGGGTCACCCTGTTTTCCCGGGCAGTCCGGCCGTGCAAGGACCAAGGAAGGTTCCAGCAAAAAAAAAAAAAAAAAAAAAAAACCTATGTTATGTAGGGGAAAAAAAAAACTGAACAACTTTTGCCTCAGGGTCACATCGAAATTCTTTACCAGCTTTATACTTAAAAAAAATAAAAATCAATTTTATTTTTTTTTTTTCTATTTCTTTTTGGTCCGGCCGGGCAAGCGGTCCTGGGCCACTCTGGTGCCTAGTTTAAATTGAAAAAAAAAAAATTTGTAAGTTCCGGGATGGCAAGGGAAACCAGACCAGAGAGGTCAGACACGTACGCATCATGTGTGCAGCCAAAATTAACGAAAGCACCCTCATACAGATGAATGGCCGTCACAACTCCCCACCAGTGCTGATAAAAACAGGACAGACGACAACGAAGCAGGCGTGTCAGGCACTGCGAAAATGTGCAAAACAGGAAGGTAGATTACTCAACATCAACACTTTGATTACCCTTGCTCCGACACACACGCACATCGGGAAGACGGCTGGCTAGCTCAACTGCATCAGTCCCATTTACACGTCCAGTTAACTTCAGTTCCGATCAAGAGAACGATCCAGCAGACATAAACCCCCCTCACATTCACAAGGTCCCGCCCGAGCACAGGGGAGGGAGTCCAACACAAAAGCACAGGGAGAAAGACTGGGAACAGAGGAAGATTCAGGAGTGGTGCTTCCATGTTCAACAGCAGGTCAGTGGCCAGATATGTTATGCGCTGGAGGAGGAAGGTGAAGAAGGGACTGCCACTGCAAACGCATCTGGGGAGCGACATGGACCAGAGGCCTACCACTCTCTCCCCAGACACTTCAATCGCTTATTCGTGGCAAAGATTGGGTCTTGGACTGTGAGCATGTATGTTTCCAACAACCATATGCGGGGTTTCGACTTCTTCCGTGCACAACCAATGAGGGGGCCGCCCACTGGTAATAATGCCTAAGTAGCTACCTTGGAATCGCTCAAGCACATAAGACCAATCCCCTCAGGTAGGTGTTCGTCTGTTGTCCTTAACGATCAGGAAAAGGAACGCTGTTCAATCGACATATCAGGGCGGTAATCTAGCAGATTATTGTGTTTTCTAACCTTTTTTTTTTTTTTTTCCCTTTGAATCTTCAGCTTCCGCCAGGCAACTACCGTCTTCACCCGAATAGAACGCCCCGTCATTATAGCTGTATTTGGGGCAACTTTCAGTCCAGATGCAGCTATAATGACCAGGCGTTCTATTCGGGGGAAGACGGTAGCAATGCTTCTCCCTTCGCCCTACCCACCCTTCCCCAATTGCAACCCCACCCCACTTCTGCATCAGCCAAGCCCGTGTAGTATTCAAGCTACTGATACTCTAGCAGCGTCCACTTTCCCTGATTATTTCCCGTTGATGACATCCTATTCCAACTCGCAAGCTCCTGCTCGTTCACTACCTTCTTCCCCCGACCTCGATGCACTCTCCATGAATGTCTACAAAAGCTCTCTCTTTCCATTCCGACGGCAATATTAGTCATCATGAGAGTGCATTGTGTTTGGGGTTATACGGTAGCCACAGACAGCTGGAATCCGCACATTAGTGGCCAACGGCACCAGGCCCTCGTAGTTTATGAATGGTCTGTAGACTCTGTACCCTTCTCTTGCTTGACCACCAGGCAGAGGATGACGGAATGGGTGCGAGCCATAGATTGGCATATTGACAACAGACTGAAAACAGTGAGAAGACAAGGGGAGCAACAAGATGATACCTTTGCACTACTATTCCTGTGAAAAGTTCATACCACATGGATCTTTAAAAAAAAAAAAAAAAAAAAAAAAAAAAAGAAAGAAAAAGAAAAGTTCATACATCACCATAATGGCAGCTCCCAGGAAGTCTGCACCAATGGTATCATCCATAGATTGCAGAATATTGATAAGCCCCTCATACCTCTATGTTATATCGGCACACAAGGTCCCTTCACAGGCCCTCTACGTTATATGGGCCCACAAGGTCCATTTACAGACCCTCTATGTTATATGGGCACACAAGTTCCCTGCACAACAAGCCAGGTGAAAAAGACATCACTGGAAAAAAAAAAAAAACAGACATGACTGCAAAGGACTGAGTGGGCTGTGTGACACAGTCCTGTCACACAAGGGGGTTCTCAGCTCTCACCTGTCCTACGTCGACAAATGGAAGCTCAAACTGCACACAACATAGCCAGCAGGAAAAAGAAAACACACAAGCACACAAGTCAGATAACCAATGCCAGTGTGTCGTACATGCATACATGTTTGTCTTTCTACTAACTTCCAAGCTCCGCACCGGACATTGTAGTCCATCCTCACTAGAGCTGCAGCCTATTTGAGTCAGTTCGCACCTGTGTTACCAAAGTCGCCCGGCCGAACTTGCACCGGGGGTGATCCGCCCAGGGTACCCGTGCAACACCAAAAAAGGGGTCAATTTTATTTTATTATTTTCTTTTTTTTTTTGGTCAGTGGGTCAATTTCGCACCCACTGGCACGTGCCCGAATCCGGCCTTACCTTTGAGTTTGGTGATATCTCACCAAAGGGTGTCTATGGGGTATAAGTGGGGTTCCAAAGGGCTCGAAGGGGCTTAAAGGGGCGTAAAGGGGTATGATCTAATTTAGTATTTTATTTCATACTTTGTATTTCGGATTCCATAGTGAATTTCGTGGTCACCCCCAGGCAAAAGATGTTTGGTTTGCAATTCTGCATGTAAATTGATGTAATAGATTTTTTTCAGATTTCTTTTTCTTTTTTTTCTTTTTTTTCTTTTTTTTCTTTTTTTTCTTTTTTTCTTTTTTTCTTTTTTTTCTTTTTTTTTCTTTTTTTATTTTTTTGCACTGGGACTGCCCGGGACTGGGACCGGGACTTTGCCTGGACCTGCCCCGACCGGGCCACCTGGGCCAATCTGAGGCAACCCGGGCCGTCCGGCTGGTAACACAGGTTCACACACACACACACACACACACACACACACACACAAGTGCATCATTGGTGACATTGAGCATCGGAAAATGATCGGAAAACCAATGGCTTTCCGGTTGGGCACCAGGCAGTCACAATGGGGTGTCATGGTGACGCGGCCAGCACAGAGGAGTCATATGTCAAGCAGAATGACATCATCGAATGCAAATTGAGGCAATGACTGCGGCATCACTCTCAGCTTCCGTTAATACTTTTGGAAGATTGTGTCGGTAGGTAGGCAAATGAGCAGAGGCATAGTCGCACTCCAACTTTCTAGGATGTCTTTTGTAGGGAATTCATACAACCACCGTCCGTCAAAAAGTCCCGATGTGAGTACGCCCTACAATAGAGAGGAGGGTTTACAGTCTTATTCATGAATACATAAGGCAGGTGAGTACATTACCTAATTCAGAACAACCAGTTCAGCAGTAGGACTGACAACATTATTTAAGAAACGAGAAAAGCAAACAGACTCGATCAGAATTGATGGCGGCTTTGCTATTCATGAACACGACCGGTAAATAGAAATTCCGAACAAGTTAGACGGAAAGAATTACAAAGATATTTCACAAACAAGAAAAGCACAGGAACTGGGGCGGGAATCGGTGGGGGCTTTGCTTAAGAAATCAATCCACACCCCCTCCCTAGACTCACCCCAGGGCCCAGGTATCTAACCTACCACCCCTTAACTTTGCACCAACTGTGGTGTTTGGAACCCAGCATCAGTAGAGATGCAAATCCATACCCATTAGACTCTTGATGGTCCTCGTACCTCCATCTCCCTCTCTCTCTCTCTCTCTCTCTCTCTCTCTCTCTCTCTCTCTCTCTCTCTCTCTCTCTCTCTCTCTCTCTCTCTCTTACCCATTNCTCTCTCTCTCTCTCTCTCTCTCTCTCTCTCTCTCTCTCTCTCTCTCTCTCTCTCTCTCTCTCTCTCTCTCTCTCTCTTGCACATGTGCACTTGCTCACCACCCTTGCGCCTCTTTATAGCAAGGTGGCCTGAACACTTCCGCTAAGTTCTCTCTCTAATGCCTATATTTGTCAAGGAGATTCCACCAGTGTGGCGCTCGATACCTCGCGTGAGGTGTGCAAGTCATATGCAGTCGTCTGATGCCTGTTTTCTGAGGTAGATGCCTTACACTCACCATGCCTGGCCAGTAGAGTTCTCCGGTACGTCTCCGTCCATGATAGTACTTGGGATCTAGCTGGCATACCCAAAAAAAAGGACAAAGCCAGAAGTTCAAGGGAGAAACAAGTACCAAACAAAAGAAAGTCGTCAGCAGATAAATAACCATGCGAAGAAAACAGAGGAACGGGGAAGGAGGAGGGAGGTCAAATACACCAAGAAGGCTGTACAAGCAAGTGATCACGTTCCACAAACAACCAGATAAATTCTGTCAAGAGTCAAGATGTGAGCTCACACTTGCACTTCCTATACTAAACACCACACTCGTTCACCTACAGTCTCCGGGCCCTGCTATGCTTGTGCTCTGCAAGCACGAACGTGGCCGATTTTGCTACCGGATTCCTGCTCTCTAGGCATGAACATAGAAGCAGAGCAGCCCAGCCTCAGTCCCTTTGACGGCTGACAACAGGCCCTACCATTTCGCACATCGACACATGCCCAAAATATTTTAAAACAAAATATCCAATCCGTGCTAAAGAACATGCCAAAGCCCACATCTGGCTATAAATAAATGAAAAAGAAAAAGAAAAACAAAGAGTGCCAAAGCATCGACAACTTCCGAAGAACAAAAGCATTCAGAGTGCTCCACATCTGCCTTCCCTGGTCTGTAGGGGGTTTAAGTCACCCTTGTAAATTTTCAGTCAATTGCAACTTAAAATACCCAGGTGGAAAATGCAGCAGAGGAAACCACAGGTCTTATCAATAGCAGATGAGCAAGCAGTGGCAGGACGGAAGGTTCGTGAGGGCAAGCAAGAAAGCGGGTGGAGCAGTTGGCGTGGAGGTTGATGCTTTACGTACGTGTGATCCCCTCACGCAGGCACCGACAAATGCCTGCCAGGTGATAACCGAATCACCGCCGAAACATTGCACATAGGTAACTGCGAGGAAACTGTCCAAAACTGCTGAACACAACACCACCTTTCGCTAAAAATGAATGACCAACCAACCAACCAACACCGCGGAAATCATAAAGCTTAGTACATGCATTGATAAGATTGCTTTTTTTCATGAGGACAGTGATAGAGACAAGCGAGCACCGCATGTAGAGATTCAAATACGAGGATCTCGTAGTGATGTTTCGTTCGTCAGAAACATGAGCGAGCAAGGTGACGGTCATCCTGACAACAGACAGACCTGCAACGCCTCCCGATCAAGTCGCTCCCGGTTGGCATCTGCCCATTTCTGGTAATCTTCCATAAACGTATTCCATCTGCTCCACTCGCCTTGCTCGACTATGTCGTCTTCAGTTTCAAAGTACCGCGACCATTTCTCTTTCAGTGCCTCCTCATCCCTGTCTTTCATGTCGATCACAATCTCGGAAGGGAGTGTCCCTCCATGCATAAATGCCAGCTTCTCCGGATCGACATACCACCCCTCCGGTGGCCAATCGCGTGGCGGTCTGCGGTAAAATACAAGCGGTTTACCCCACAGCGCTCTATTCTCCCAGTCGTTTTCTTCCTGCCGCTCCTGAAATTCCACTTGCCGTCTCTTCAAGATGGCTTCCACTTCCTCCGGACTCATTTCCTCACCGTTAAGGCTTCTGAGAGCATACTCTCCTTCCGGCTCCAAACTCTCTTCCCATGGTGCCCATCCGCTCTCCAGTACGTCAAAGTCTGACAGCTCTTCTGCACAGGATCAAAGAGACCGCAAACACAAATTCAGGACATGCTCACACTACCGTAGGACTTTCCAAGGATGCACCTGGACCACATCTAAACATACTACAAGTGCCACTGTGGCCTCGGAAACAATACACTTATGGGCAATATGGCCCCGCCACACGATACAGCAGATGAATCCACAGTATGGCCCTGCCACCCGCCACACAATACAGCAGATGAGTCCACAATTCAAATCCAGATGCAGTCAGATTAACAAACATAGGGCCGGTCTCTCAAGGCTGTTGTGCTTCCAAAGAGGAAAGGAGGGAGAGGGGGGGGGGGGAAGAGGGGGAGAGGGAAAGAAGAAGAAGAAGTAGAGCACGAGCGCAAAGCAGAGGAGGAGGAGCGACACGGAGGAGTGAGGATTACAAAGAGAAGGATAAAAAGGAAAAGAGCGATGCTGCTCCACAATGATTGCAAAGCTGACCTCCTCCGTCGTCACGTGTCGATTCATATCCTACTGCCTCCACCTCCTGCTTACTACACAAACAGACAAACCAAAGACGCACACACAACGAAGTAAGCGACTCATCACTCTGTGCCTAAGTCGTTAACCCATCCCTCTTAGGAATACCCATGCCCGTTACTTTCTTCTTTGAAGTTCTTTCTTTATTCAATATTTTTGGTCTTATATACTTTTGCAATTCCGTATTTTCATTCTGACAGTTTTTTCTGATTCATTTCTTTTATATCCACTTTTTTTATTTTACTTTCCACATCAAGCCCACCAAATAGCCAGTGACGTCTCTCAGCCATATGTGCGAATTGCGGTCGCTGCAGGCACACCATGTTGCTGGAGCTAGGGCTCTCTCTCTCTCTCTCTCTCTCTCTCTCTCTCTCTCTCTCTCTCTCTCTCTCTCTCTCTCTCTCTCTCTCTCTCTNTCTCTCTCTCTCTCTCTCTCTCTCTCTCTCTCTCTCTCTCTCTCTGTGTGTGTGTGTGTGTGTGTGTGTGTGTTGTCATATTCGCTATACACTCAAGAAAGCATGACTGTACCAGACTGTTTCGTCGTGTGTGTGTGCGTTTGCGTGTGCGTGTGCATGTGTGTGTGTGTGTGTGTGTGCGCTTTCGTATGACCATTGCAAATGGTTTACCACCCATGCCTCTCTCTCTCTCTCTCTCTCTCTCTCTCTCTCTCTCTCTCTCTCTCTCTCTCTCTCTCTCTCTCTCTCTCTCTCTCTCTCTCTCTCTCGAGTGTTCACTACTTTGATTGTCTGTCTTCTGCATCTATGGTCTGGCTCATTGTTTGTGGCTTTTCTTTTTTTTCTGAGAAATTTTGGACCATTTCTCGATTTGTGAGTGTCATCCTTGTGCAGGGGCTTATGCTAATCTCCTTTCTCTGTATCTTTCGTTCCAATTCTTACGGATGTCCCAAAGGACTAACAAGATGGTTTGCAGGAAATGTCCAGCTATAAGAGGATGGTTTGGAGGATGTCCATGAATCACTCACCGCTGCATCCCGGTTCTCAGCAGCCACTTGACATTTGAAACCAGACCTGTCAAATCCACATCATCCAAGGTTTAATCGACATAAGTGCTGGGGAGAAGGGCGACGAGGCGAGGGTGGGGGGAGGGGAAGGGTCGCAAAATTCACCAAAAAAAGGAAGAAAGAAAGAACGGAAAGATTGACAGGCGAGGACCAGTGGACGGATCCCCCCCCCACCCCCTCCCCACTAACCGTAACCTGATGATCCGTCTTTGCCTGCATACAGCATATCTGACTGATTGATGCATCGCTTTTTTTTTTACTCTAAGGTAGACGGGGTCTTGACAGGACCGTACCATCTGGTAGCTTGCAAAGAAAGCATGAAATCGGGAAACCAAAGATGGCAGCGTCGGCTCACCTGCCTCTCGACTGCCAAGCAGAAGCATTAAAAAAGCCTGCCTGCAAAAGCAGTCCCGAACCTGCTCCGACCCTTTCCACTTCCCTCAGCCTCGGGCTCACACTCGTACCCAGCCCGGCCACTCTGCCAACCTGTGAGAAGACATGATCAATCACACACACACACACACACACACACATACACACACATACACACACACACACAATCCATGTGTGCCTGTCTTTTCCGATCTGAGAATCCGTCGCTCTATGTGAGGGATTATTCTATACAGGATGAAAAATACATAAGAATAAAATGATCAAGTAGTGGGTAACAAGACGAGTAGCAGAAAAAAAGGTTGGCAAAAAAACAATGCGCTTGTATCTGTCTTTTGTCAATTTCTGCATTCGTCGTTTGTTTGTTTGCGTTTTTTGTTTTTGTTTTTTTTAACCATACTATATTCTTCTCTCAAATGTTTCATCATCTTTCAAATTCTTTCAATTCACCTTCACTACCTACCTACCACTACTCCTAAGGCTTATAAAGGGGACCGCTGCGAACATAGCTTCTTTGTCCCCCTTACTGCGTGTAGTGTTAGATTCACCAAAAAAAAAAAAAAAAAAAAAATCGTGGCCAGCTGGATTCGCTTTACTACTCACAGTAGATGCCAGCCACGTTTGAATTAAAAAAAAAATTAAAAAAAAAAAAAAAAAAAAAAAAAAAACCGACAGCCATGTGGCTTGGACCGAATAGAATCTGTCCTTGAAAAACCCACAAGCCAATAGCCAATTGTGGGTCCTCCTATAGCCGGTTGTGAGCCCTAAGCTCCCAATCGCATAGTCAGTTGTGGGTACCCACCATCATCTAGTGAATTGCGGGCCCTAAACCCACGGTAAAAGAGTCAGTTGTGCGCCCTGAATCCACAGCAATCAAAGGGTCAGTTGTGGGCCCTAAACCCACAACAATCAAAGGGTCAGTTGTGGGCCCTAAACCCACAGTCAAATAGTCAGTTGTGTGCTCTAAACCCACAACAATGGAAGGGCCAGTTGTGGGCCCTAAACCCACAGTCAAATAGTCCGTTGTGCGCCCTAAGGCCACAACAATGGAAGGGTCAGTTGTGGGCCCTAAACCCACAGTCAAATAGTCAGTTGTGCGCCCGACACCCACAACGATCGAAGGGTCAGTTGTGGGCCCTACACCCACAACAATCGAAGGGTCAGTTGTGGGCCCCAAACCCACAACAATCGGAGAGTCAATCGGTTCGGGACCCCTCCCAAAAGCCGCCGAGGGGGGGGGGGGGCAATAGCCCCACCCACGGCCACCAACGGGCGAGATGGCAAAAAAACAAAAACAAAAAAAAAATGGAGGAAGGAAGGAAATAATTAAAATCGAAAACTCGTCGCGTATACTCATCCTAGCGCAAGCCTTCCTGGATGCATCACTCACATAATAACGACCAGATTCATTTGGAGTCCTCCTGTGGGTATTTATGCTCCTTTACTGCTGAGCTTAGCACAATCAAATAGTAGTCAGTGTCCATAGGTCATTGGATCAAATGTCTGCCGAAAGATGGTTTGATCTCGCAGACTTTTCTTCACAGTTTAGGGTGGGTGGAGGGATGACTGATGGCAGCGGGAGAAGGGAGCGGCGGCGGCGGCGGCGGCGGCGGAGGAGGAGGAGGAGGAGGAGGAGGAGGAGCGGAGGAGGAGGAGGGAAGGAAACAACTGACACTTGTTGAAAAAGAACCATTTTTGAGCGAACAAATGAATGTGTTTTTCACTGTTTTTTTTGTTTTTTTTCGTTTCTTTTTTTTTTTTTGGATTATAGGATGGAAGGAAATATTTATTTTGATTGATTGATTGATTAATTGATTGATTGATTGATTGATTGATTGATTGGTTGCAGCGGAGGGGGAGGGGGAGGAGGAGGAGGAGAAGGAAACAACTGACACTTGTTGAAAAAGAACCATTTTCAAACGAACAAATGAATGTGTTTCACTGTTGTTTTTTTTGTGCGTGTGATCATAGGATGGAGGGAAGTTATATTTCTTTTGATTGACTGACTGACTGACTGACTGACTGTTTGATTGATTGATTGATTGACTGATTGATTGATTGACTGACTGATTGATTGATTGATTGATTGATGACACGACGCCAGTAGTTCATCTCTAATTGCGACCGACTTTTACCGCAGCTGACTGAAAGAACTATAGCGGCGACCTCTTTTCTGTTTTTCGGGGGGAAGTTTTCTCTTTTTTTTCCATGTTAATGTATGTATATTTCTTTTCGGTTTTCTTTCCCATTCGCTTTCTCGAATCGGATTGGTGTCTTCCTCTTCTTTTCTTTTCCTGAACTGGTCTTCCTCACGTTTCTTTGCTTTGCTTTTTTTTTTTTTCAGCGTNGGGGGGGGGGGGGGGGGGGGAAACGGGTTGGATAAGGAGACACGAGGGCGATCAGCGAGCAGGCGCTGTTCTGGAGATGATCCAATCACGAATCACTTCTGATTCTTTCCGTATACTTCCGAGAGGGAAAACGTTTTTTTTTCCCCAAACAGAGCGGGAAAACTGCGCCACCGGTTTTTTTTTTGTTTTTCTGGGTCCCTTTCTATGAGAGAAGGCCGTGAGATATCATCATTAGATTGACCGGCACCAGGAAATCCAGAACGACTGTTGTTTTTGTGATCAGGTTGAACCTGGATTCGAACTTGGGTCTGATTCATATTTCAACAGTTCATGGGTATATACCAACCAACGGAGCTTGGCCCGTCGTTCATATATTACCTTTTTTGTTCCCTCTTCGTTTCTTCTTTTCAGTCAATATATCTATATGCATATACATAGTCAATATCTATGTGTTTATATACATATAGTCGATATTTCTCTGTGTATATATAGTCAATATCTATACGTATACACGTATACATATCGTCATAGAGAACTGCCAGATTACTGAAATTTTCAGTTTGTTTTTTTGGCACTTTCCAATGGACCATTTCAAACACAAGTACGGTAACCACAGGGAAAGAAAAAAAAAAAAAAAAAACAATTCAAAGAATCGCACCAATGCCAAAGAGCAAAAGCGGTGAATGAATGGATCAATTACTAAATACAATCACCCGATCAGCCAATCCAAACAATAAACCGTTCAATCAATCAATCAATCAATCAATCAATCAATCAATCAATCAATCAATCCATGCACCAATCAGTCAGTCAGTCAGTCAAATACTGACTCAATTCCAACCACTCAATCCATCCCACGTTACCCGACCTTCATTGTCTTCCACTGCATGACGACGAAACCTTGCAGCATAGCCATCGCGACTCCTCTTCTACCTCTCCCACCCACACTTCCTCCTCCTCCGCCGCCGCCGCCGCCTCCTCTTCTTCCATGGGTCGAGCCCGCTTCGCTTCTCGATGCCACCGCTGCCGCTCCCGAATGTGGACGAGAAAGGTCACGGCACCTGCATTGTCTTCTACATCCCGCGAAGAAATCTCCGCCGCCTGATCGTCTCCAATCGACGGCAGCAGCAGCTGCTCCCGCCATAGCCGTGGTCGACCTCGATTCTATAGCATCCGTTGCGCTGGCCATCCTTTTTACTCTCCGTCTTGGGGACGAAGACACGACGGCAATCTTCTTCTTCTTAACTCCCTCTCTCGACGGCGGCTTGGGAGCGGCAAAACGACATCCATTGCCTCCATTCAATTTGCTACTGTCCCGACAGCGGGAAGAGAGCAGGGCGGTCGCCCAGCCGCCACTGATCTTGATCAGCTTCGTCCCCGCCTGCAACACCCCACCCTCCATCGCTCACCTCGTGACCTCGGCTGAGCTATTCTTCTGCACACTCAATACGACGCCAAGCTGCAACAGAAGGGGAGAGAAGGGGAGGCACACAGTTACAGTAGTAACTCAGATGATTTCCAAGGGCCTGCACGGTACCACGAACGAAAAAGTGAAAACCAAGCGAGAGAAGAACTGACATGACGAAAGATGTGAATCAAGAAGAAAGAGAAGATGAGTACAGAAGACGTTAGAGAGAGAAAAAAGAGCGAAAGATAGAGACATACATAGAGACATACATAGAGAGAGAGAGAGAGACGTGCTGGGAAGAAGTGAGAGCGAAGGGGAGAACAGGATTGAAAAGGCTGGCATCAAACGAGATCCGCGGACCAATGGGCGCAGCTCACTTGGGTGTACAGCTATGAAAACTGTTGCAATACGCACCTCTGTTCGAATCCCAATGAGAAATTAGATGAGCAGAATAATATACTGTAATTGTGAATTACCTGGGGGCCGGCCAGCTTAATGAGATGATATCTCAAGGGCCGTCACATTAGCA